TTATTCTTATTTTCTTTATTTTTATTTGACAGTATAGTTTTTCCCTAAACATAGCACATACCGAACCGTACCGAAACCGTGATACAAACTGAACCGTGAGTAAGTTGAACCGTTCCACCCCTAGTATGTACCCATTTAAGAAAAGTAGGTCCAAAATTAAATTTCTGCATAGTATGAAACAGAAATTGCCAGGACACCCTATCAAATGCTTTATGCATCTAATGATATAATCACAGCCTCGTCCCCTTTTATTAATGAATAATTAATTATCTTCGTATTGTCACCACAGTATCTCCCTTTTATGAATCCAGTTTGATCTGGGTTTATAATATTAGTACTGTGAGATGAATAAAAAGCCTTATCCGCCCAGGACTTTGTCAATTTTTCGTGTCCTCTATCTGAACACATCCCAAAGAGAACATGGGATTTAACAAGTAGGAAAAATATCACTTTACAAATCAAGAAAACTAAAGAGTTTTGAATTCCCGGTACCGTCGTTTTGCTGTAATATTAGTATCTTTTGATGTCGTCTTTAAAGCATCAACGGTATCTCACATTTACCCGACCTTTAGAATGCATTATTTCTGCTTGCTTTGCTCACGAGCGCCCCCATGTTCATGTTTTTTAAAAACATTTAGCCTTCTGATCTGTTTTAAATGATTCAGATTGTTTTTAATATCGCATTACATTACATTATATATACTGTAAAAAATGTTAGGTAACCTAAAATGTGAATCATTTAGTTACATCTAGAGTCAAATCAATATAAATAGCACATTAAAGTTAAAAGTTAAAAACTTGTGTGTGTGTGTGCTGCACAGGTCTGGTATAAAGAAGGTTTTTGCTCAGGTGGCCGAAATGTCCGCCTAACAGAGAAAAGTTTTAGTCAGCAAGAAAAAGAAATTAGGGGGAACATTGCCCACAAGATCAAAAATAACTTGTAGGGACATACTGTAGGGAATACCAGAAGCACACACACACACCTTGTGTACCTGCTGTGTGTAAATGTGGTATTTTCTCTGGCGTCTCTCTCCTTCATCAACAGCACTGGGACAATGTGTCTGAGGTCAAAGGTCAAGGGTTAAGGGTCACGACCCTGAGTTCGGCTCTGGCTTTTTCAGGTGTGATGAATAACAGACAGCAGCTAGATGGGGGTCGGGTCACTCATGTCCAAAACATACACTCACTCACTCACACACACACTTTCTCTCTCTCACACACACACACACACTCTCTCTCTCTCTCGCACACACACACACACACACACACACACGCACTCTCTCTCTCTCTCTCTCTCTCTCTC